TGAACAGTAGTATTGTTCAATTCACATTATGTGTTTCAAATATGAAACACAGTACTTACTTTACACAAACACATGAACATACCCTTATGTCAAGAAACCTTTTCTGTTGTTTACTTTAAGATAAAAATATGGGCATATTCTTTTAGCTTAGCCAAACTCACAGACACATTAATATTCCCAGGAGTGATCAAAATTTAATAAATTCAGCTAAGAATATTATGACTMTATCAATAGATCCTCCTTATAATGAATTCAGCTTGGAAATTTTAAAAAAGCAATCTTGTATATTGTTATTGATTACATTTTCACATGTTGAAACACATTTTTCTCTTTYCATCCAGCAGACAAATCAATGCTAYGCTTGGAGAAACTAAAATTTAAGTTGATTTATTGACCCCATGTTAGGCAATTAATATGTAGATAACTAGAATGCAAAGCTTATTCATGATCCAGAGCATTGTTAGCCTTTGTGATGGTTTTGTTTATTAACCTCACCAGACTAAAAATGCTCAAAACCATGGTAAAATATCACAACTATGTGACTTTTCATTTGAGAAGAGATTAGCATTTGAATTGGTAACTTCTGTAAAGCAGATGGTACTTCCTGGTGGTGGGGAGTGCCCTTCAATTCATTGAGTCTGCAAGGGACAAAAAGGTTGACWAGGGATGAATGTGCTCTCTCTTCTTGAGCTGAGCCATCCACCTTTCCTGCCATCTTCAGGTGATAGGTGCACAGGTTCTTTGCTTTCAGACTCAGATGTAGATTTATACAATTGCCCTCCAATTATCAGACCTTCCTGCTTGAACTGATTAAACTGTTTTCCAGCTCCCATGAAGCATATTGTGGGATTTCTTGAACTCCATAACSATGTAAGCCAATTCCTCTAATAAATCTCCTTTTATATATTTCTATGTCTATCATCTTATTTCTGTTTCTCTGGAGAACTATAATATATCCTCCAATCAAAATATATTGCAAAATAAGATGAAAATTACAATTTGTATGGTTTGACTCTTATTGGCAAAGTATCTCTTCTTTGATGCAAAGTATTTATTTTTCTGCTCCRTGGAGAAAATCATGGCCATCACTTAAGTGCAATTGTGAGTAGACTGTTAAACCCTGACACAAANGGAGATTTAAATGATGAATTTAAACAGTATGAAAAGGATGAAAGAGAAAAGCATACCTTGTTCAGTTTGTAAAAATACAATTACTGGGATCTTTAATATCTTTGTCTCCATATCTACATAGAAATAAATTTTTAAAAAGTATCAAAAAAAAAGTTGGATTGCCAGTCATTTAGTACTATATTCATTTACCAAGTTTTATGTTATAAATGTGACTTTGGGTTTTTATGAGGTTTTTTTAGTGAAGAATTTCAGAATTTTATCCTGCATCTGCTTGGTTTTCACCACATACACAATGGGGTTCATCACAGGGGGAATGAGGAAGTGCATGTTGGCCATGGTCACATAGATGTGGGATGGAAGGCTTGGGCCAAAGCGGTGCAGCATAGACAGGCAGATCATGGGTGTGAAGAAGAGGATCACAGCACACAGGTGGGAGATGCAGGTGTTGAGAGCCTTGAGGCGGCCACTGTGAGATGCAATGCGCAACACAGTGTTCAGAATCAACACATAAGAAAGGAGAATGAGGAGAAAATCAAGTCCCATAGTAGAGAGTACCACAAACAGTCCAAAGATGCTATTGATCCTAGTATCAGAGCAGGACAGCTTTATGATGTCAGGATGCAGGCAGTAGGAGTGAGAAAGTATGTTGGAGTGACAGAAGCACAGCCTCCTCAAGAGCAGGGGGAGAGGCACTTGCACACTCAAGGTTCGCACAACAATAGCCAAACCTATCTTGGCAATGATGTTATTGGTAAGAGTGGAGGAATAATGCAATGGGTGAGAAATGGCCACATATCGGTCAAAGGCCATTGCCAGAATARTGGCTGACTCAAAATCCTGGAAGGTGTGAATAAAGAACATCTGGGTGAAGCAAGCAGAAAAGGTTAGCTCTCGAGCATCCATCCAGAAGATCCTCAGCATGGTGGGAAAGGTGAAGAAGGACAGGCCCAGATCAGAGAAAGCTAACATGGCCAGGAAGGTATACATMGGCACGTGGAGGGTCTCCTCCTGCCAAATAATTGTCATGATGCTCACATTGCCCRTCAAGGTAATAAGGAACATGGCACAAAACGGTATGGAGATCCAGATGTGCACAGACTCTAGCCCTGGGAGGCCTGTGACCAGGAAGGTGGAGAAGGCAGAGTTGGTGCCATTAACAGGAAGCAAGATGCCAGGGCTGCATGCCTTTTCTAAAATGGAATGTGTTTTCCCAGAGACAAATGTTAAAATTTGATTTGAACCTTTAATATACTACTCATCATGTTTCTCATTCTAAACTGACAATGATGGGTGTATAATATGAGATTAAGTTTTTTTTTTTAATTGTATAGCATCTGACCTTCTAGACTATGAACAAGACCTTYCTGATTCAACTCTCCAGATAGTGTGAGTTGAAAAAAAATTAATAGTTGAAATCTTGACATTTATTCCACCCAAGTCACTTAATTAAAATAGTAATGCTTGAAAATGAAAATTCTAAAATAAATAAAGTACTTTAAACAGTGTATTCCCCACTTATCCATGGTTTTAGTCTCCTCAGTTTTAGATATTTATGGGCAACTATGGTCAGATGAAAAATTCCAGAAATAATTCATAAGTTT